CTGTGTTTCTTGTGCTCTCTATTAGATTAAAGCAAATAAAAATATTTTGGGAAAATATACCCGTCTAATCAAATGTACGTTTTATTTTGTTGTTTTTTTTTGAAAAATCTTGCATTGTGATTTATTTATTTTGATAATTCCTCAATGAGGTCCCCCGCTAAGATCTGGGGTTTGATCGGATAAGCATAAAAGTTTTAGAGAAATCCTTAATGTTTTAATAATTGGCAAGATAATACACACACACACATACAAGTGTCTTATTTTACTTTTTATGGAAATATATAGAAATAATAGCATTGTTACAAAACACAATTTAAAGCTTTAGTAAAAAAAATATATGTGTATCACAAAATCTACAAATACAAAGTAATAGCACGCAAGGCTTATACCTGTGTATCATAATAAATATATTGCAAGTAATTAGATAATTATGCTATATATGTATCAAAAAATAAATGGGAGAAGCGTAAATATAACTAGAAAGCTTTTTTTCTTTAAATATAGAATTTTGATGAATAAAATCACGATTTAATAACATAATAATTACAAATGAAAATCCACACTTCTAAAAAATTTTAGCAAGTGTACAAATGAAAAGAGACATCTAGTGAGTAACTGGTGTTGAGAATATTGTTTCATGCTGTACTAAAAAATATAAACTATAAATATAATGGAAAAAAAATTGTTAGTTGCTGTTTGTTTAGCTAAAGACGCCCAGAATTTAAGGTGAGTGTAAAAACTTTTGTTGTTTTTCTCTGCAATTCTGGTAAGTGACTGTATATTTTAAAAAGATAATTCGAGCTTATATTGTAATTTACTGTATTGGCTCATTTCCATTGATTTATTCTATTCTAAAATCTGAGCTAATGTTCGTTAGCCTCTTCTAAAAAACGACTCCACAAAAACTGTTGTTGAAATGTAACTTGTGTTTATAGATTATTGTTAAAGTAATAACAACAGATTACTATATATTGTTCAGTTTAACATTTCATTCATTTTCCCTAAAAATGTTTTAGTCAAAATTGTTAATATCACTGTTAATGTTATTTATGATAATTATAAAAGGTTTCGTTATAGTATACAGTAAATAATGTATCACATTATGCTGTATATATATTTATTAAAGGATTTGTAATTTACTCTTGTACAGTTATTTTCAAATAAACGTATGATCTAATCCCAACTGTGCTGAGCAGCTGTTATTTCGATACTGTTTTTTAGTTTTTAAGGTATAGCCAATTTCTCTAACAGTTTGGTCCAGGTGTGCCTTAATGGTTAGCATGTTGGACTGTGAATCCATGCTCACAAGATTGTACTCTGTACTCTTGGGCCGTGGGTATCAGAGTGAAGATCGTATCGCATTATTTGATTAGAGTAGCCCAAGAACCAGAGGTGGACGTCATTGACTAGTTGTCTTTACACAAATATCCGAAACAAACAAAGCTTTCTTACAATATAAGAAGCTTATAGCTTCATGTAATCATAGTGGTTCTGGAAATGTATTTTACACACAAAATATTTACTGTGCGGACGTTCAAAAACTGGAAATGATTTTAGAACTAACTTTTTGAAAAAATATTTAATATATATTAAGTATATTTGTAATTAAACCCATGTTTCAAAATGATCATAAACAACCAGCCACTTTTGGATGGTTTCGTAGAACCTCAAGAACTGATGATAAGTTCAAATATAAAGTTTATGACCTTTTGTTTTTAATGTCATAATAGCTAGATAAATATTTCAAAAATATCTTTAATGTAACATAACTACTGTAAAATTTGCTGTATGAAGAAGGCATGTGGGAATATAAAACATTTTTTAAGATGTTATAACTTTTTTTTGTGTGTGTACACCTAATATGAATTTTGCTGTTTATTGCAATGTTGAAAATTCTAGTATCGATACACTTGTCCTGTGGAATTTACAAGATAAATAATATATTCTTTGGATATTACAGTGTTTGATATAAGTTTTTGACTTTTCATGAAATCTTAATGCAGACTTGGCTGTCAGTGCGACTTATAATTTGTTGTGTTTTAGAGAAACTCTACAGTCCTGTGGAATCTATGACTCAGCTCGGAAAGCAAGGAGATTAGATGATAAGATCGCACTGCCTTTGACAAGACTTGGATGTGAGACTAATGAAGAAGGATGTACTAAAATCGTTAAACCACCTGACATTCCACTGCCTATAGATTTGAACACGTCTTGTGCTTTGAATGGGGTTTTATTTACCATACAGAAATCACATACTGAACCATCTCCTCGAACTAAGTCGATCTCTCTGCAAGAGGATCTTTTTGAAAAACTGAAACTGTTGATGGAAAGGAAGGGAGTGTGGAGCTCATCATTGCTTGCATCTATTCCTAAACACTGGGAAAGACATGATGATATGGTGTTGTTACCAAGTTCTTGTTTTACAGAACCTGTGTGGCAGACCTGTGGTTGGTGTCCATTTACTATAGTAAATGATCAATTAAAAACTTAAAACCATTTAGGGAGACTTTACTTGGGTATTTAGTTGAGGATATTGGAATGTTAGCAATGTCGAAGAAAAACTAGCCAGTCAACAGCTTTTACTTGGGTAATTAGTATAGAATATTAAAAATGTTGAGAAAAACCTTTAGCCAAATAATATCTATGAAGTTTTAAATGAAACTTCATAAGTTTAAAAAAAATGTTTTGTAGATTTTATGATAATTTTTAAATTCCTCACCTTGGAAATTGGCCTGGAGGTTTATATATATAGTTTTTGTTTTTAAAGAAGTAATATCATGCAATTTTAAATTTTGAACCAAAGGTCACTAAACTATAATTGGAGTATCATGTTCTGAGTTTGACACCAACAACCAATCAGGTGACAGTTAGGTAATTTAACATACAAGCTTACTATCTTTGAGATGTTTTTTTTTTATATAAATATGAAAATGAAGTGCTCCCTATTCATAAGTACATCTGAGAAAACAACAACTAAGATTATTAAGCACTTCTGATCAAAAAAAATAATTTCCAAGACACCTAATGAAGACAAACTATATAGAATGCACTGAGTTATTAGTTAAGTAACATTGGTATTTTTAGCTGCAGCAGCTCGTAGAATGGCTCCGAGTAAGTTTCTTCAAGTACAAACTTTTAGCTCATAGCTCCGTCATCTCTTGACTGATTTGAGATCTATTTACAGTTTTGGACTCGGGAGGTCAAACCCTTTTGATTGATGTGTTTGACTATCCCCAAGGTCTCATAAATTAATTTAGTCTAATCCTGCCTAAAAGAATTTCAATTTGAGGGTCGGCTGGTAGAGATCCTGATGAGTAATAAAATCAAATTGAGTATATGCTCACCCCTCGCTTGGTGTTACTGGAGCACAAAAATATAACTAATTAAAAAGAAGAAAAAAAAGGGTCTCGTAGATTAATTTACTCTAATCCTGCCTAAAATAATTTCAAGTGTTGTGGTTATTGAGGATTTCCTCTTGTTTATCTGTAATCTTAGGTAATTGACACACATCCCTCTATAATTTTACTGGAGAAGCTTCTGTTTTTTTAAGTTTTATTTTTTTTAATAACCAGCAGATATGTGAAGAGCAATCTTTTCCAGTGTTTCTCAGCCTTTTTTTGCTCAAGACACCCTTACACATAGTCTACAGTTTCCATGGTACCCCTAGCATCCTATAGCTTACTTAAAAGTGGCATATCCAGAGGTAGTCATAGAAATACCCACCCCCAAATGTAGTCCACTCTAACCAAAGGAGTGGGGGGAGGAGTGTAGCAGTAATGACAAATTTGGCAATGTTAATTTGTCTTTTAGTACACACAAAAACTTTCTGAATATATAATGTAGCATTTTATTTTTTACTTTTGTATAATACTTTACTAAATTCTCTCGCTACCCCTAAAGAAAGCCTGCAGCGCCAATATGTACCGTGCCACCATGAGAAACAACTGACCTATCCTAATTAGGAGTTCAATGTTTGCCTTGACCTGGTCCCAAATGAGTATGCCTACTTAAGTTACAGAAAATTGTTTTCCAATAAGTAAATTAAAAAATTGATCAATTAAATTACTATTTTCTTCATTATTTCAAATATTTAACACTTGTTCTGTTTGCTCATTTCAATTGTCATATATTAGAAACTCAAAACTACCCGTGACTTGGTGATTGAGTAATGTTTGGTTTGTGTACAACTAGCAGTGTATCTTTTCATTAGTCTTAATCAAGATTTTCATAGTTTATTTTCTACTGAACTAATTTACAATCTGATGAAATAAACAGAGTTTTATTTTTACTAGTTCCTGAGGTGTGGAATGTTGTTGCAGAGACTCTGCGATGTCGAAGGTTAGCCAAGAAGAACAGAATCCAGAAGAATGATTTCCGTACACCCAATGTAGAACTTCTTAAAGGAGAAAACGGATGGGTTGTTCACAAGGATAATGGAATCAAGTAAGATTTTGTTAGTTTAGTAGTTAAGTTTAGATCAAAGGGGAATTGTGCCTGGTCTGGCTGGGTTACAGCATTCATAATGTCACCTGAAAGTTGTCAACAGAGATATATGAAGTTTTTACATGAAACTGAAGAATATCTGCTTTCAGGCTTACGAAGAATGAAGCATTTCAAACCATTTTCTCTCTCATTCAGTTGGTTTCATATATTTGCTACTTTGAAAGGGCCCATACTCTATGTTCTGCTCTATTAATTTTCCATGTTAAATTCAATAATAGTGTTAATAGAATAATTTAACAAATACTATTAATGAAATTAAAAATAAACAGAGGAGAACTTAAGATGTATACTTTTTTCCATTCGATATCTTATGTGTGTGTGTGTGTGTGTGTGTGTGTATGTGTGTATATATATATATATATATA